TGTAATTACTCTAAGACAAAGATACTTCCTTTATAGCCGGAGGTACTAAGTCCCATTGAGTCTCCAGGTAAACCCTTTGCGGATCTAACTCAGGGCTTCTACAGGGCTAGGCTCTTGGATGGACTCCGCGGGCTATCTGCTTGTGGGTTGAGGGTTTAAGGCTTTAGGGTCTAGGGGGCTACTCACACATCGTTGTTGAATGTGCCTTAAGTAGGTTCTGGCAGTGTGCAGTTTACTTAAAAGCTCCAAGACCTGATGGTTTATGGCTTTTCGAGTATAATGTCTTGGAACTATATGTGTGGCTCCAGTCAAGGGGCCCAAGCCCTAAACCTGAAACCCTGAACCACACCATTATCCTTCAACCTGAACATACGGCTGAAACCTAGAAATAGGGCTGGATCCCGAGAGTTCTGTGGTTCTTTCCTGGAGCGTTTGCGTGGCGAAGCTATCCCGTGACTGGATGGTCTGAGTAGCCCACCGTCTTAATTTCCACGTAGAAGAGTTTTCCGTATGAAAATCCTTTGTGCCCAGAAGACGATCACGGAAGCCTATGGCCCCAATTCAACGCAAGAGGAACCGGGACAAGCCCTAAGGCTCCATGTACCCATATAGTATATACTTAGGCCTTAAAGTAGCTATATAGGGACCCCTTTGAGGCTTAAGTATCTACTATAATAGTACATGGAGCCTTTGGGGGAGATAAGCAGGACTAGCAGCGAGAAGCATAGCGAGCCCAAGTTCTTCTTCTACCGAGGTTTCCGCTGCCCGGGACGGACTCGCCAAGGCTCGTGAAACCAAGGAAGTTGACGCCAAGCCCGTAGCCCCAAGCCCTATACGTCTCTAAACTAGGCTCACTTAAAGGTTCATGGTTCAACCTTTTGCTTTACACACTTGGTAACTCGTTGTTTACGCGAGGTCTCCATCTAAAAACACAGTTACCACGATTATGGTGCTACGTTCGAATTTAATACACTGCCTACGCAATAATTACACGGGCATGTGCTTGTCACCCAAACCTGTCTGTGAGCATTCCTGGAACTTCGAACGCCGGTAACCCGACCTCTATCTAGGGTTTATAAGGGTTTAGGGTCTATAGCATGGTTAGCCAGGTTTGGTGCAGTGATACGGGCCAGTGCCTTCTCTCGCTGGCCTCCTCAGCACAGGCTGGGGGTATCTTCCCTAAACCCTAAACCCTAAACCCTAAACCCTATACATCTGGGATAAATAGGGTTTTTCGTTCGGGACGGCGGTTGACGGTTGGTTTTAAGTACCAGTTTGGAGGTTCAGGGATGGTTTGGGATTGCGGCAGGTGGTTCGTCTAGATCTTGTTCAGGATGAATTCGCCCGGTTTGACAGCGGCATATGGGAGCTTCAGAGGATAACGGAGCCGTAAATGACCCCTGGATCAGGTGCCCGAGGTTTCTCCAATTAGCATATGGGAGTTTCCGAAATTAGGGGGTACCTTATTTTGGGGTCCTTATAACAAGGATCCTACTAGTTAGGGTACCTTGTTAGGGTCCCCTATTTTCGGAAACACCCATATCGGTTTGTCACGCATCGACCCCTGAGCCTTCTACCATGGTTTAGGGTTTAGGGTTTAGGGGTGCAGAATACCAGAACACATCCAAAGTGTAGACCTACGTTGCAGTGTCGAAGAGATACTCGGTTCGCGACCTAGTATTCCTTGTTCTTTAGGGTGTAGAAAAGGAAATTGCGAGACGCTCCCAGATTTCTGTATCCTTGCAATCAGCGTGTCGGGAAATGCGACCAATACAAAACGTGGCCTTATCAACCCCTAAACCCTGGACCCTAAACCGACCGGCGACCTAGGTAAACTCTGACGGGCTAGCAGGGGATCTCGGGTGTAGGGCTGGGGTTCCAGTCAATGTAAAGGGTGCTCAGCGAGGAATCTGCTGATCTGTGGTCCCTGAACCATAAAACCGCTATCCCTTCGAGACTCTAAGCCCTACCTATAGTCTCCATTGTAGTTTCCTTAAGCGCTTAACCAAAATCTTTAAATTATAGGATCCTAACCATAAAACTGGTTAACCCAAAAAAGGAACTACAATGGAGACCATAGGTAAGCCCAGGGTCTCGAGATAATGACCTGAGAGAGTTCTATGGTTGGAAAGTTCGGTGATTCGACGAATTTGGTATAGGAGTGCCTGGCAGGTCTGTGTTTTTGCTGAGCTGTACGACATTTGAGGACTCGGAGAAAATGCGAGCTGCGAGGGTTTCCTACGTTGTTTGTGGCGCTTTAGCAGGTTTGAAGATCAGCCACTTTAAGAAGTAGCAGTAGCAGAAGCAACAGCACTGCAGCAGCAGCAGCAGCAGCAGCAATAGCAGCAGGAGCAGCGGTAGAAAAACCAGTAGTAACAGCAGTAACAGTGGTGGCAGTAGTAGCAACAGTAGTACCGGTAAGTAGTAGTAGTAGTAGTAGTAGTAGTAGTAGTAGTAGTAGTAGTAGTAGTAGTAGTAGCAGCAGCAGCAGCAGTAGCAGTAGCAGTAGCAGTAGCAGTAGCAGTAGCAGTAGCAGTAGCAGTAGCAGTAGCAGTAGCAGTAGCAGTAGCAGTAGCAGTAGCAGTAGCAGTAGCAGTAGCAGTAGCAGTAGTAGTCGTCGTGGTGGTGGTGGTGGTGGCGGCAGCAGGCTGCTTTCGTTTTAGTACTTAGCAATTGTTGTGGTGGTGCTGCTCAGCAGCCAGCAGCGGGAGGAGCAGTCACGCATTGTTGCATACAGCATGTAGTAATGGGAACTAGGCCAAGTCCGAAGCACATGTGTGCCCCTTGCCAGTCATATCGGAACTGAACGCATGCTTTCTTGACCTGACCTCCAAGTTCAAGGTTCAAGAGTCTTGCAGCTTGTATAATCAGGCCTAAGCTCATCGTCCCCCCTTGCTCGCCCCGGTCTGAGCCCAGCCTGCAGGATGTTGAACTCTGCTTGGCCGCTTAGCATCCAGCAGCCCAAAGATCTGGCGGCATGGCAAAGAAAAAGTCTTTGAGAGAGAAGCTGTGTATGTTTTTCCCGACGCGACCACAGGCATGAATAATAAGTCGTCAGCACGATCAACAAATGCGGCTCTATTTGGTCTGTAGGATTCTGCAGGACCCCGGCTTCACTGGCCGTTTAGCTTACCAGGAAACCACCTCGTCGCTTGGTCGTACTGGAGAAGTAGCATCGGCACGGTATTTTGCGAGATTTGATGATTTCAGATGGCCGCGCCATTTCTGGTGCGTTGCGACTCAGAATCCCTGTCGACGTGTCCACCGCTGCCCTGATCATGGATGATCTAGGCACAAACAGGGCAGCGCATCACAATGCGACAGTTGCAAGATGTTGCAAGATAGACACATATATGTACAAACGTGAAGATGGCTGACTCAATCTCCTGTCGGAGGTATCTCGAAAAGCGTCGACTCCGTCCAAACTTTTTGGTTTGGCTTATGACCCCGCTAAAACCGTACAATCTACGCTACAACCTGCACGGGACATTCTACATTCTCCTGCAGGACCTGTGCCCGAAGCTATGCACCAATTTTGGGTTTAGGGGTTTGGGGTTTGGAGTACTACATCCTGATGACAGGGTAATTGCAAGGCCTGAAACCCGAAACTCTCAAATTCCATGGGATTGTACTCATATAGCAAGACCGCATTCTGCTTCTAATCTTTACATAACCCTCCGTCATTGAAGCTGGCTGGGGGAACTCTCGAATGGCTTCTTTCTCGGCTCAAGCTGGGCAGAGGGCTGCTGCAGTTGATTACAACCACTCGCTGATGCTACTGCTTTGGGGTTTACAGTTTACATGCTGAAGCAGGATATGTGAAACGACACTGCAGAAATAGTATCGACAGGGCATTGGCAATCATAATTGGTTAAAGAATATTTAGGCCAATTCATGAAGCAGGAAGTATTCCAAGTGTGAACTCAGAGTTGCATGTCATCTCTAGTGCCGCAACAGAGCCTCGTGAGATTTGGGGGCCATGTAGAAGTGAAGGTTACAAAGGTTTGGGCTTATGGCGCATTAAAACAACTCGTTTGCTGAGTCTGGAAGCCACCGGTTGAAGCGCAGTATGTAAGTACGACTATCCTTTCGTGGGTTTATGCAAGCATGAGAAGCCAGCGGACATGTTGGCAAGCAAAGATTGTCGAAGACACGTTCACGGTTCACGCATTTTCCTGAGAAAACCAGTAGGCATCATTCCGAATACGTCTGGGCTTCTGTGAAGCTCTTGGCAGCTCTCAGCAATCATGAAGGCCAGGGGCAGGGCTGACACTTTGAGACAAGGCCTAAGGGTTTTCGGGTCCAGTGTATAGGGTTACTGTAGTGTCGTTGAACCCTCAGACCCGGGAATTTCTAGCGCGCCTGAATCCTACCTGCGAGGAACCCGAAACTATAGCCCTTCAATACACCAACGAGTACGAAAGCAAAGAGTCATACATGCGTCTTTTCAGAGAATCTATTCTTGCTTTGCTCATGACGAAAAGATTCTGGGATAGCTCACAAGGAACCTTGTTCTAAAGTGACCCATGATCACGAAGCCGCTATATAAATGCTTTAGGCACTCCTTGGCTATACGTCAGATGAAGCAGCCCCTAAGTTGCTGCTCGCAGCTCTTTCGCTATTGTGCCTTCATGCCGGCGATGATGAGTACGATGATGGCACACCTTGTCACGATTTAGTGATGAAGATGACGAGGCAGACGATGCTGATACCCATGGCGAAGACAAGGACGATGGTGAAGATGGTCATCTTTAGCGTGCCATGAACAGGCTGCTTGTCAAGCTTGCGGCGAATCTTGCTGATCCAGACCGATGGTTGACAGCAAGGTTTGCACCTGCAGCCAATAGGGGCGGCCAGAGGTCGTCTTTCTGTAGGGGAGACAACTGCCACACGTGTATGTGTCAATGTGTACATGTTGAGAGTGTGTTCGTCTCCTGAGTAAGACCAGGTTGCCCCACGTGCTTTTGGCAAGCCTACACTAGCTAAGAGATTTTTCTGCAATGGCAACGGCATCCGAAGTCAGCATCGTGGAAAGCTTCATCAACAAGTGTGACCTTGAGGGCTTGCAGCAGTTCGCTTCGGAGAAATACAACTGGAATCAGAACCTGGCTGAGTTCCAGGTAGTGCCTCTTGCTTACGCTATCAGCAGAGGCTTGGAGTACAAGCACAGAGAGCCGAGGCCGAAGTATCTAGTTATGATCGAGTGGATGCTACGCTCGGGCGCTGATCCACTCAAGGAGATGACCACAAACGCAAGCTGGAGCATATGGATAACTGCTAACGAAGATGCGACAAAGATCCAATTCATTTACAATCGGCACTCTCCTCTTTCGTTCGTCTTGAAGATGTCTGAACTCCTGCGTCTCAGACGCGGTGGTGCAAGCTGGTCACATGAGTGTAAGTTCCTTGATGAAGTTCTAGCGCTCTGCAAGAAGGCAACGTCCTCCAAATCTTCCGATGATCGCACAGTGCGCATTCATGCGGATGTCGTCCGCTTGTGGGAGATCTCTCGGGAGACGACATCCACACACAACGTCGTGTTCCAGACAGAGGACGGAGAAGTTTCGGCACACGACCACATATTGATCGCTGCCTCACCAGTTCTGAAGGCAATGCTGGAGTCTCCCATGAGAGAAGGTTCCACCAAGTGCATCCCAGTCAAGGATTCTTCGAGCGCTGGTGTATCCTTGTTTCTGGACCTGCTCTACACAAGCTCCACTTGTCTCGAGCTCGATTACAAGACGATGCTTGTCGCGTTTGACGTAGCCCACCGCTGGCAGGTGCCACACGTCGTGGGCGTGCTTGCCGATGTTTTGCGGAAAGAACTTACCGTCGACAGCTTTGCGGAAATCGCCGAGGCCGCCATGCTGAAGGGCTCGGCATCGCTGCAGCAAGCGTGCGCCACGTTTGGAGCCAAGCATGATGAGATCCAGGTGGGAGTTTCCGAAGATAGGGGTACCCCATTTTTGGGTCCTTATAATAAGGATCCTACTATTTAAGGTGCTATATCAGGGTCCCCTATAGTTTCGGAAACTCCCAGGCGAAGAAGGAGACCATGCCACCGGTCGTGCGGCAGTTGCTCGGCTTGTCCTACGCATCCCTTGCTGAGCCCGGCAATCCCAAGAGAAGGAGATTCTAGGAGGATTCAAGTCTGGCTACAGTCACAGCTCGCAATTCAAAGCCCCTGTATTTAGGGTTCAGCGTTTAGGGTCGAGACTTTGAGTCTCGCTCCCACTACACTACAACTCTAGCCCGGTCCACAGTCCACAGCTCTACTGCGTTTCGTGCCACCTGTCCCCTCGTCCGACATCTTCTGCAGGAGCGGTCAAAATCGCATGCGAGCAGACCTTAAGGGGCTTCGAGCTCAACATTGCCATAGCAAGACATGTATGTTTGGCATGTGAAATACATGAACAAATATGGTTTTGCGTTGTGTTGTTGTAGTGGTAGCGACTCCAGCAGTTGAAGCTGTGCCAGCTGTGTTCAACGTTTCGCATCATTTCTTTGAAGCTGAAGCCCCTGAACTGCGCGAGGAAGCTTTTTTCGTGCCTTCAAACCAAACCGCCATCTGCTGACATGTAGGTTCTTGGAGTCTCTATCTCTCAGGTTTTGACTTCAACCTCGAGCCGTCCTATCCCAAAACCCCGTTGTCGATGAATTTTCCTTTGTTCCAGACGTCCGGAACAAGCGAAGCGGAGAACACGGACAAGATGCGGGCGCCGGAGGGCCCAGCCTTTCCTTCCTTTCTTTGGGTCTCTAGGGTTTCGGGTTTGGGATTGGTGATATTCCAATTTTTGAGCTTAGGGTGTGGGGTGTTCAGGGCATGGGGGCTGAGTCTCTTCAAATCCCAGAAGTCTGAGTAGCTGCAGGGGGCATGGGGATTTACAGAACTTTCGGGCATGTAAGACGATGGTTTGCCATTTCGAAAGCAACAGTCTGGGAAGGTCTGGGGCACAAGCCGAAATCCCAGTCCTCTAGCTCTGGCCCCGTCACACTTCCGACTCCCAATACACTTAAACTAACACCTCAGTGTGCGGTGTAGGGTTTAGGGTTCGGGTGCCGTAAACCCGAAACTCTGAAGCTGCTGACCGACAGCTAGACGAAGCTTCCCGACAGCACCCTTTTTGGGCGGGTTGAGCTTCCGAGGCTTCTTCCGGAGCTGGCTAGTAGGAAGAGGGCAAGCTTGTCTCTCAGGGCTACTGGGGAATTTGCGTGAATAGGCTTCATCAGGAACTGAAAGATAAGTGCGATAGTCTTCGACAAGACTCGTAGGACCCTCTTCATTCACCCTCAAGTCATCCTCGCCGCTGCAGGGTTGCAAGGAAAGCCCTGCCGCAAACACCTTCTGTCAAACAGTTCTCACAGGTGGATGCGAGCTCCTCCTCAGACGTCTTAACCCCTTGATGGACCCTGACACCTTCAGCACTCACCCTAAACCCAAAAACACCAAAAGCCTAAACCCCTAAACCCTAAACCCCGAAACACCCTAAACCCCAGACCTTGACACCTTCAATCCCAAACCCTCGAACTCTCAACCCCAAACATGTCCCGAGGCACGCCCTGAAAGCCCGCACTATGGACGGACTGCGCCATGAGGAGACTCTTTGTTGAGAGTTTACTTAGGGGTACTTAGAAATAATTTGAATTTTTGGTTATTACAATCCCTAAGAAACAGCTAAAATTATAATTGTTGCTAGGGTTCTAAGTTCAGTAAAGTTTAGGGTTGAAAGGGTTTGGGGGATTAGGGGTTTACGGTTTTGGGTTTCAGGGTTTCGGGGATTAGGGGTGTAGGGTTTAGGGTTGCAAGGGTTTCGGGTCAAAGAGGTCAGGTGTTTCGGGTTTAGGGCTTAAGGGGTTTGGGGTCTGCGGGTTTAGAGGTTTCATAATGCTTCGGGCGTTGAGGGTACTAGGGTTTAGTGGTCTCACAGGGTGTTGGGTTTAGGGTTTAGGGGTTGGTTCAGTAGACGATCAGGGATTCAGGTAATTTTTACACATAGCTACTAATATCCCCGGTGCATGTACAGCTACCCGTGAACCTTGAATAATAAGCTAGTGTTGGGGCCTTGGTGTGGGAACTTGGCGTTCTTCTGGCTGGGTTTCTGCCTAAACCCTAAACCCTAAATAAGCTTTAGAAGGGGTTCAGGAGTCAGCCAAGGGAGTTCAGTAGAAGTGTTTTCGGACGGTGGGGCTTCGGGCGGTTTGGCCGCGTGGGGTTCGGGCCCTGCAGGCGTTGAGGGGTTGCTGTGTTGGGGAGTTCGGGCTAACGAGCTTTGGAGATCTTCGAGGCAACTTCTTTGGCGATAGCCACATGCCGATGGGCGCCATCAAGCATTTAAGGGAACCGTGTTATAGAACCCTATTGTCCCCTGAGGGTATCCTTAAGGGATCCAGGGTATCCTTAAAGGATCCAGGGATCCCTGATTTTTGAAAACCTGCCTCCTTCCTGACAATAGGTCACAGAGTTTCAGAGCTGAGGAAGCACTGGAGCAACATCAGCGGCTGGAAACCTACTTTTTTGTAGGGTCCCTATAAATTCCATAGTAGGGTTTATAATAAGAACCTACAAAAAGTAGGGTTTGGGGGGGTTAAGGTTCCCACAACACCTTTAAGCGCCGTTTAGTTAATTACGGATTGTCAGGTTCGCTTTCAGGGTCGTCCGGCTCTCTGGGCGTTGTGCTGCAGAAGCCTCCGGCACCTCAACATACTGCCGATGGGGTTCTAGGGTCTTGTTGGGAGGTTTGCTTAGTATACATTGAGGTGAAACCTCACGCACAGCAACATCGCAATGTTGGAGCTGGGCCGCAAACAAGCCCAATCTGAGGCAGCTTCGGCGCAAGGTTTGGAAAGGGGCCCACTCCAGGGCAATGCTGAAAGCCGGTAAGAAGAAGCCGTACTTAGCAGCGGCGAAGCGTGCCGATGCAATACGAGAGATGCTGGCAAATTTGCCAGCGAGCTCACGTGGAGGCAATGCGAGAAGAGATGCCCGCCGATTGGTGGCGCGATCCTTCGCGATCAAGTGCACGCCGCTTGACCGCTTGGCCAAGGCCTGTATTGCAGAAAAAGGCGGCTTCCATGTCATATCGATTCATATCGAGCTTCCTGACAGGAGGTACTGGCCGGTCTGCAGCGGTTCGGCCTGCAAAGTAGACCCCAAACACCTGGACCCCATGGCCTAAGCCCCACTTTCTAGAGAAGCGGGTCAGGATGTCGACCTCATGGTGTGCACGGATCTGATAGATCAGGTGGTGCTCTCAGAAATCTTCGTATCTTCGGTTTCCGGGTTCAACTCTGGGCCTATTCGATTTGACGAGGGAGTCGAGCCTTAAACTCAAGCACTAAAGCTAAAGTCGTTCTGGTGTTCGGTGGGGTTGCAGGGGTTGGGGTGAGTATCTTAAGCTTACAGTAAACGCCATAAAGTTGGAAACCTGATAAAGGCCAAATCGTGCTGGGATTCGCTATACATTACTCTTAAGGAATGAGGCTACTGGGTTTCCAACTTTTGGGCTTCTACTGTAGGGCATAGGGCCCCAATTAATGGAACCTTACAGGCCCCAAAAAGCTGCATTCTTGATGCAAACCCAAACTCGGTTTAGGGTTTCGGGTTTATGGTTTCGGGTTTATGGTTTAGGGTTTCGGGTTTAGGGTTTCGGGTTTAGGGTTATGAAGCATGGTTCAGGGTTTCGGGTTTAGGATTATGCTTGGGGCGGAGCTTCAGTTGTTTCTTGGACGCACCTATGAGCCTGGGCGCATCAGACTACTCCTTATCAACCGCCAAGCCCTTGTACCGGAGGGCAAGCTCAATTGAGACTGTAACGTGGTCTGAATAACTTGATAGGCTCACAGACTTTTTGCTGGACCTGAACATGAGGACATTGCCAACAGACGTCGGCACACCTGAGGAGTTTGTAGAGTAGTTGAGAAAGGTGTCTTGAGTTGAAGAGGGATCTTAGTGCGGTTGACGGAGTATTGATATTGTGTCATGAAGGGTTTTCGGGCTGTCTCGGTAGAGGCTTAACCCGACATCTGCAGCATTCTGACAATGCGTCACATGTCTCGCATGCCGCAGAGGATCCTAAACCCTCGTAAAACCTGAACCGTTTAATCCATTAAGGTGGTTCCGAAACCCTCAATCCGGAAACCGCCCAACAACTCCAACAAAAATGCGAATCCAACCTCAAATGCCAAACCGGGCAAGCCCTGCTCCAAAGTCCTGAAGATCTTCACATGGCATCCCATGAGCACCTCCAGCCCCTAAAGGGCCCTTAAGCTCCCCCAAGCGTAAACTTAAGCCACTTTCCCGCAATCCCGTACCCCGAAACCACTTCTCCTTGAACTCCTAACCCTAAGCCTCAAACTCTGTTCGCAGACTCAAACCTGCGTTCTGAACCACAACACCTCGCTAGCGGGTGTGCTGGAGGCTACTATGCTTTCGAGTTTGCCAGGACTTCAGGTTGTTCACGAGTTCGACTGAAATTCTATTTGCCATTGTCAGGCAAAAAGACTGTGGGATTGGACACCAGGGTTCAGGATTGATGGCTCCAATGAGATTGGAGAGCTCCCAGACCCTGCATGTAAGCTTCTTTCTAGGGCTTTTGAGATCTGAGAAGTGCAGGACGAAGGGTGGGGCGATGGTTTAAAACCCCACCTGCCCTTCATTGCAACGCCAATGCTTTCTCTTGGGGACCAGAAGGGCTCTATCAACGGCCCCAAAACCCTGCACACCCTCAACCCCAGTCTACACCCTCAACTCGCGTTTTGGCCGTTGTGCCATGTGCGCGAGCGAGCCTATACGGAGGTAACATAGAAGCCTGAGAAACCACCATTACTACTCCATCACATTAGTCAATAATGGCCAAACTGTATCTTAGAGCTCTCTGATTGTATTTCAGTATTCAATAAGTATATGCCTCAAAACCTATTGGAATTGTTGCATTCAGGCCCCCATGTTACGAGCCCTTGTGTCTTCAGCCACATGTCGTAGCCTGTTTTCACAGTTACAGATGGGCAGGTCATACACAGGTTGGAACATTTAGAGACAGTATGTGAGGGTCGAGGGCCTTTTTTCACAATTTCTGGCATGTCCCTCAGAGTCCCGGCTTGATTAGATTAGACGCGTACTCCAAAATCCAGTTATGGTGT